CAGAGAAAACGAGAAAACGAGATCACGAGCCGGAGTCCGAGAAAATGAGACCAAGGGGCAGAGAGAAAGCGAAAACGATAAACAAACCAGGGTCGAGAAAACTGGACCACTACCCAGGGGCCGAGAAAACAAGAAACGAGAAAACGACCAAGGGTCCGAGAAAACAAGACCACGACCCAGGGGCCGAGAAAACAAGAAAACAAGACAACGAATCAGGGTAACAAGACAAACAAGAAACGAGAAAACAGGAAAACGAGAAAACAGAAAACGATAAAACAAAAACAAGAAAACAGGAAAACAGGAAAATGAGACAACAAGAAACGAGAAAACGAGAAACGGACCGGGGCCCGAGAAACCGAGACCACGACCCAGGGGCAGAGAAAACGAGAAAACGCGAAAACGAACCGGGGCCCGAGAAACCGAGACCACGACCCAGGGGCCGAGAAAACGAGAAGACGAGAAAACCATCCAGGGTCAGAGAAAACAAAACCACAATCCAGGGGCCGCTTAACAGAGAACATGAGAAACCGAACCAGTGTCCGAGAAAAGGGGACCACGAACCAGGGGCCGAGAAAACAAATAATGAACTAGGGTCAGAGAAAACGAGACCACGACCCAGGGGCCGATAACACGAGAAAACGAGAAGACTAATAAGGGTCCGAGGAAAATTGGCACCACGACCCAGGGGCCGAGAAAACAAGAAAACGAGATCACGAACCAGGGCCCGAAAAAGCAATACAAAAAAACAAAAGCCGAGAATACGAGAAGACAAAACAACGAACCAGGGTCTGAGAAAACGAGACCACGACCGAGGGCCTAGAACACGAGACAACAAGAAAGCACACCAAAGTCCGAGCAAACGAGACCACGACCAAAGAGCATAGAAAACGCGAAAACAAACCAGGGTCCGAGAAAACAGGACCACGACCCAGGGGCCGAGAAAATGAGAAAACGATAAAAGGAATCAGGGCCCGAGAAAACGAGACTACGAACCAGGGGCCGAGAAAACAACAAAACGAATCAACGAACCGGAACAGAGAAAACGAGACCACGACCCAGGGGCCGAGAAAACAAAAAAAAAAAAGATAACGAACCAGGCGCCGAGAAAACAAGGCCACGACCCAGGAGCCGAGGAAGTGAGAAAACGCGAAAACAACCCACGACCCAGGGGCCAAGAAAACGAGAAAACGAGACAACTAACCAGGGTGCGAGGAAACCACGACCCAGGGGCCGAGATCACCAGAAAACGCTTGGTTCGAGAAAACGAGACCACGGCCCAGGAGCCGAGAAAACGAAGAAACGAGAAAACGAAGCAGGGTCAGAGAAAACGAGACCACCACCGGGGGACCGAGACAACGAGAAAACGAAGATACTGACTAGCGTCCGAGAAAACAAAACCACGACCCAGGGGGCGAGAAAACGAGAAAACGAAGCAGGGTCCGAAGATCTGGACCACGACCCAGGCGCCGAGAAAACGAGAAAACGAGAACGCGAACCAGGGTCATAGAAAACGAGACCGCGAACCAAGAGCCGAGAAAACGAGAAAACAAGAAAACGAACCAGGGGCCGAAAAAATGAGAAAACGATAAAAGGAATCAGGGCCCGAGAAAAGGAGGCTACGAACCAGGGGCCGAGAAGACAAGAAAACAAGAAAACGAACCAGGGGCCGACGTTATTCTCCAATTTGTTCTCTAGCGCTGCGGTGCTCACCTGTCGTCAGGGATTCCGCCATTTTGCCAGAGCCCCGGAAGGGGGGGGGGGAAGGTAGCTTCGGAAGCCCCCCACCCTTTGCACGGGGGGGGGGGTAGCTTGAAGCCGCACACCCCTGCGTCCAGACCAAAAAAGGAAGGAGATGGCGGGGGGAGCTTCCGAAGCTCCCTCCTTTGAAAGGGAAGCCCGGGCTCACCTCCTGCTCCAGAAAAGGGAGGGAGGGGGGGGATTAGTTTCGAAGCCCCCCCCCTTTAGCCAGGGCCCCCCTAGCTTAGAAACCCTTACAGAAAGGAGGGGGGTAGCTTCGGAAGCTCCCCCCCTTTTCGAAGGAAGGGGGGGGGTAGCTTGAAGCTGGGTCTCCCCTTTTAGTATTGAGTTCCGTGCGGGCGCGCTCTTACACATATCGTGTAACAGGTATCTAGCAGTCTCTGGTGCGTTTCGAAGCGCTGCCCTGCACACGAGTGTTCTAACAATTCAGCTGCTGCAGCGGGGTGAGATGCCTCCAATATGTATGCGGTAGCTGCGGTCCGATCATTGCTCCGGCTGGGAAACGCGCTGGTTTCTTGAACACTTGGATTGAGATTGTTCTATCGAAGAACATAGTGAGTCGGACTGGCCTGTGCGCTGAGGAGTTAAAGCTACCAGGGACTGTACGTCCTTGATCAATGCATGCAGCGCAACAGGCACAATCAAGTAGTAGTGTACATCGTGGGCCGTGCAGGGTAACACAGAGGGTGAGGCGGAGGAGGAGGAGGAGGAGGAGGAGGAGGAGGAGGAGGAGGAGGAGGAGAAGGAGGAGGAGGGGGAGGGGGGGAGGAGGAGGAGGAGGGGGAGGAGGAGGCGGAACAGATGAAGGAATTGGAAGACGCCTCTTGGAAGCATCTTGGGACAGTCTTGGGGTCTCCTGGGAGCTTCCCAGGGGCCTCTTAGAGGCCTCTTGGGTGCCTCATTGGACCTTTTGGGGCCTTTGGGGGCATGCTCGGGGCCTCTTTGGCCGTCCTAGGGCGTTCCTGGCCCGTCTGCCGCCGTCGGAAGCCGTCTTGGAAGCCATTCTGATCCGAGTTGGGTCCCTCTAGGGCCGTCCTGGAGGCCATCTTCGGCGTCTTAGAGGCCTCTGGGGCCCTCTTGGGGTCTTTTGGAACTATCTTGTGGGCCTCTTAGGCGATTTTGGTGGCTCTTGGGCCGTCTCGAGCAGTCGGAAGGCCGAACAGAAGCAAATGCCCAAACCCTACAAGCACTTAGGAAACATCAATGCTTTAAGCCTCGTCGGGCCTTCCTGAATACCCTTCTGGAGGCATCTTGGGCCGTCTGGGAGGCTTTTTGGGGGCCTATTGGGCCGTCTTGGGCAACCTTGAAGCCAACCTGGGCCGGCTTGGTGGCTTCTTGAGCGAATTTGGAAGCACATTGGACCCTCGTGGCCCGTCTCGGAGACCATCTCGAGCGAACTTGGAGGCCTTCTCGGACCATCTCGGGCGTCTTGGAGGCTATCTTGGACCATTTAGGTCGCCTTGGAGGCCCTCTGGGGACCACTTTGTGCGGGATGACCAACGGGCGTTGCAAATTATGAGTGGCTGGTGCGCTGGGCCGAAGCCCGAGGGGGAGTTCTAAAAGAACCAAGAACTCCTGAACCTCAGTACGCCAGGCACCCATGTGGCAAGCTAACAGGGAACGGCGGATCGAAGACGCCTACGGCGAATCACCGACGCCCCCTGCCTTTTTGGAAGCGCCTATGTGGCCATGTCGGGCCAAGCTATCGGACCATGTGTTCCCCGAACACTTTTGGCCTCGTCGGGCCTTCCTGGAGGACCTCTTGGAGGCCTCTTGGGCAGTCTTGGAGGCCTCTTGTGGGCCTTTTGGGCCGTCGTAGACCATCTGGAGGCCATTTTCGGCCGTCTTGGGTGCATCTTGGAGCCATCTTAGACGTCTTTGAGACCATCTTGGCTGTCTTGGAGGCATCTTGGAGGCCATCCTGGGCTATTGTGGCCGTCTGGGAGGCCATCTTGGGCCAACTTGGGGCAACAAAGGCATTGACGGACGGATTTTCGGGAATCTCCCTGGACCCCGGCGGGACGGGCCGAAGCCCCAGGGGGAGCTCTTTTGGAAAAAGAACCAAAACCAAAATCGTAATAGTCTAGCACGCCAGGCACCCCTGCGATGAATCGACAGGGGGCGGCGGATCCGGCGGCCTTCGGCTCATCCCGCCACCGTGTGGGCCAGATGTCTCTTGAATACCTGTACTGGTCTTTCAGGCTGCCTCCCGGATTCCCCTTGAAGGGTTCTTAGGCCCAAGAGGCCCCAAAGGCCCCCAAGGGGCCCCCAAGAGTCTTGGGGGCGTCTTAGGGACCTTTGGGGGTATCTTGTGGGCCTGCTGGTGGTCTCGGGGGTAATCTTGGGGCAGAGGTCTGGACATGCCACTTCGTGTAACCCCTCTCGGACCTCTCTTGGGACCCCGTTGGGCTGTGTGGGGGCCGTCTTGGTTCTCCTTGGTGCTCCTTGGGCCGTCTCGGGGAGATATTACTTGGTACCTCTTGTACCGTCTTGCAGCGTTGGAAGACCAATTGGACCGAAACGCTTAAGGCATTCAAAATCCATAGCAGTGATTGTTGCGTCTTGAGCCCCTGGTGGACGTCCTCTTGGGGCCCTCCTTGCGGGGGACGACGACGACGCTGGAGGGATCCCATCCACCCCCCGCCCTCGACGGGGAAGGTATCAAAGGGAACGGGTTTCCCTTCGACTTTACTGCGACTTGAGGCGGTTCCCTTCAGACTGCGACTTTGCAACGCTCCACTCGGGCTCGTGACCAGTGACTTGGGGCGGTTTCCGTTCGGAGCTTAGACTTCGCTTGGAACGGTCCGACATGCTGGCCTTCTCAAGGGTCTCTCTCTCGGCCTCTCAGTCTCGTGGGGCAGCGCCCTTTGCACGGGCCTCGTTTCGCTGGAACCGGTTCGACATGCGGCCTTTGAAGGGTCTAGTTTGCGCGCCCTCGCCCTTGCGTTTCACCCCTCTCTTTCTGGACCTGCCTCTCGTGAGGCGGGCCGATCCAGTCTCTAATTTCCAGTTTCCTCCGCTGGCGTCGCTGCCTGTCGGGTGGAGCACTTCCTTCGAGTCCTTCTTGCGCCCCTTGTCGGTCGAGCCTAGGCCTATTTCCCTTCAGCCGCGGTGGGTTGAGGGGTGCTGGGCGATGTGATGTGCCCTGCAACGTCGTCGTCGTCGTCGTCGTCGTCGTCGTCGTCGTCGTCCTCGTCGTTGTCATCGTCGTGCTCCAGTCGTCGTCCAGTCCATGTCCCCAGGCGCCGCTGGGGTTGTTATCATCAGCGACTCCGAAGACCTGCAGGAGGGATGGGTTGCCCTCTTGAGGGTCTGGTGGGGCCTTTGCAAGCACCACAAGGGAAAGAGAGCGAGAGAGAGAGAGAGAGAAAGTTGGCTGGCCAGTTGCCACGCGCCCAACACCGACAAACAGGTTGAAGACAGTCTATTTATTAGGCTAGGCACTCGTGCCTGGATGCAGCACCACGACCCCGCCTAGGGGAAGAAGAAGGGAGGAGGGAGGGATTGTAGCGGCAGCAATGCTGACAAACGTGAAAACAAACAAGTTGGCGGGAAATAGGACAAGCATGGGATATGGACAAGTTCATCCGACTATTAGGTGGGCTATTCCATGCCAGCGGTCGCGAGCATGTGCGCGGGGAGATGGGGACAAGGACTCGGCATCCTGGCGCCAGTGCGTCGTGCATGCGGCCTGGCGCTTGGGGTTCGCGGTGCTGCGCAAGCATCCCGATTTCTCCTTGCCTCACCCTCCTTCCCTTCCCTTTACTCCGTGTCTCCCTTGTCCTGTCCTCCTCCTCCCCTCCTCCAGCGCGTCAAGCTTTCCCTGTTCCTCCCCCCCTCTCTGCGGGTTCCAGCTCGCTCGCGCGGCCCTTGCAGGGGCGGCCATTCGCGCCGACGGCGCGCTGGTACCCTTGCTCCTCGAATCCCCGCATTTTCTCGCTTGGGCGAACGGGCAAAAGGGCGCAGGACGGCGGCTTTGGGAGGGCGTGCCTCCCAGGGAGGCAGGCGGTTGGGCGCCAGCGGTTGGGCGCCAGCGGCTGGGCGCCAGCGGCCGCGGCCGCGTTTCGGCCGCTGGCCGCCAGGGATCGTCGCTTGGCAGTTCGGTGCGGTAAGTTAGAAAGGGTGAGAGGTCAGAGAAAAACGAAAGGGTTCGCTCAAGCCTTTCCGGGTCGGCTGCGCGCCAACAGAACGAAAGACGTGTTGTAGGCGGTCGAGAAAGGTGCGGCCATGCTGTTTTCGGCAAGGTCTCGCCAACCAGCGGCACCAACCGTGCAAGAAGCGGCGAGAGCGGCGATCGAAGCATCGTCGTCGGGACCTGCCCTTACTGGAAAGCCCCTCTGGGAAGCGATCGTGCAGAGTGTTCTTCATCACTCTACTATCAACGGCGAATCAGAACACATCGTGTGTAACTTCGCGAATGGTCGCATGAAATGTCCACACTTCTTCGAAGCATGTGAAGAACATCAGAAAGCTGTGGTCAGAGGGTTGAGGGCCGGTTCTGAGAGGTTGCCTCCCAACGAGACCATACTACGATCCCATCAGATCGTCGACTACGAACTGATGCTTGTACCCAGGGAAAGGGAGAACGCAGTCGAATACTTCCACGTCGCCGAGCAGTTCTACGAGAACGACACGTGGTACGACGTGCTGAAGGGGCGAGTGGCAGCTCGTGAGTTGGTGCTGGCCAGGATGCGCCTGGCGCGTTCCCCACGTATCACGGCGCAGTACTGCCTGGGAATGGCCATCGAGTACTTGGTCACGAGGCGCCTGCACACTACGTCTATTGCAAACGTATCTTGTGCTGCTTCATTCGGTTGGAGCATAGCACTGTTCGTTGAACGTGTATGTCATTCCATGTTTGAGATTCCGTTCTTGTGGCCTGACAGCGTCCATGGCCAAGTCAGGCGGGGAAAGTGGGACGCATATTCCCATGCCGTAGATATCCGGAAGCTCTGCGCGCTCCTGAACGCTGGCATATTCCTCCCATCCAGAGAGAGGCAGGGTATGAGAGTTCAGACGGGTCAGAAAACGAAAACGAAACTATTCGCCGAAGGTGTATACGCCCTCCGCGACGCTGATCGGATCCACATGCTCCACCAGCACTACAGCCGCGGCGCGGAACTCTGGAGTGACGAGAATCTGGCAACCATGGACTTCAAGGTCGCCACCCCGCCGGCGGAAGCAGGCGGCTTCCGCCCCATTGACACGAAGACAAAGGGGAAGAAGCAATATGTATGCGACAAGCCCGAACTCATAGTTAGGCTTTCGCTAAGACTATACTGCATGACCCTCAGTCAGGCCAATCAACGACATAGTTGGGTCTTTCATCCGCAGCATTCTCGCCACTTCGGGGTGGGCTACAAGGCGCTTGTGGGCCCCTCTCCCGATCCAGAGGAAGGGGTTCCGAAGTGGAGAAGGGATAATGCCCTCGACGAGGAGATGCATAGACAGCAGCCTCGCACCGAATTCCACAGGGCAGCCGCGCGGAGACATGTGCGAGGCCCTTTCAGCCGACAGCACAAAGGGAGATCGCGGCTGAGTTGGACCAGCTGAGGAGGAAGCACGTGCGATTCCTGGAAATCGAGGACTGGCCGCTCTGTGCACTGTAGTCCGACCTTCTGCTCACTGAGCACTTCGAGGCGCCAGTCTTCGTGGCCCATGGCCTTCGGGACATCGTGACTCCCTTCGTTCAGGCCGTCTTACCGCGAAATCGTCATGATCTGCGGACAATGGACATGGGCGAGTCCATGCCCGGGATCTCGGATCACGACTGGAAGCTCTTCCGCGACGAGAAGGAAGAAGAGGAATCCATAGGGGGGCCTGATCAGCCTGCCACGGGCCATGTGCCAGGCAGCGCCGAGCCCAATGGGCCGCCGAGATCCAGAAGCGTCGTGCGCCGTGGAGGCCGCGAGGCAATGCTTGCGGAAGCGTCGAAGAATCGGCGTGAATCTCGGTCGGGAGGGCGACGCTCCTGTTGGGGCAACGCCGGGCGTGCTGGCTTTAAACATTCATTCGCTGCAAATCGCAGGCGGCCACGCTTCGAATTCCCCGACGGGGTGCCTCCTGGCCAGCGCCGAGATCCCCGACCGGGAGCTCCGGACTACCGGCCTCCGCCCCTGCCAGAGGCTGCGTTCGTGCCCGTGCGCAACATGGGCGTAACAGCATCGCCTGCGGCATCTTACATAGATCAGATCCGGATTTGCCCAGCGCTTGATTGTTTCAGGACCGCCAGGGCAGCTGTTTCTCAAGATGCGAAGACCAATCTAGTGCGCCGATGTTGCCACTGCCAACAGAGGGCAGCTGTGCACCTGGATCGATGCCCGCCGAGGCGTCGCGTCTATAGCCGCTGGGCAGACGCCCATGGCGGAAAAGCACCAGCCGACATCGTAGAATACGAGAAGAGGGAATACGAGAGGTGGTGCAAGCAACAGACTACCGCGGTTGACTTGTCCGCGAGCTCGGAAGACCCTGCGTCGGACCAGGGCCGCGGAACAGGGCAACCTGCGGAACCCCGCGACGACGGCCGTGCCGAAGAATCGTCAGAAGAAGAAGGGTCAGCAGATGCGGTCGGCCATGCCGACGTCGCGATGATGCAAATCGACCTTGAGACCCGACCGCGCGACGTCGGACAAGGGCCCCCATTCGGCGAGGAATACTTTTTGATCGACGGTGCGTTGCCGCCCCCCAAGAACAAGCAGATTTCAGAAGGAGTTTTTGGGAAGCTCTACCCACGACATGACCGTGCTGAGGACCTCGAAAATCTTGGACATGAACACGAATAGCTGACTAACGAAGGCATTCTCGGCCAGGGAAGGCGCGGCCCTCTCTTGGCGACGCTCGAGTTCAAACGGGGACACCTTTCTGCAATATCCCCAGCACGAGCTCGTCTCATAGACGAACTCCACTACAACGGACCTCTCCAACCCAGCCAACGACTCGGCCGTGCACTTATCAGCGACAGGCTTTCCACTTATGCCGACTGCGTTGCCGACCCTCTCTTGGATTACATCCGGCGTCTGCCCGCAGGTGGGCGCTCCAGGGTGGGGAATTATCTGAGAGCCCGATACCGTGCGATCGAAAGCCAAAACTTGCCTGGACCGGACCATGCTCTGGTACTCATGTATCCTTACTTTTGTCCGAAGCTCTACTCTGCCGCGAGTGAAGTGGGGCGCGGTGAGACTCTTCGACTAGGCGGGCTGATAGTTCACCTTCTTCGTCAGAGCTCGGCCCACGTGCTGAGCTCGGGAGGATGGGTGGACGTGGATGTGCTGATGCGCGTGCTCGCAGGCGTCGGCTATGATCGCCCGCGGGCTGGACTCACGCGCGCAATCTCCGTGCTTGACCCAAGGGGCGTGCAGATGCTAGGGGCGGAGATGGGCGCAGCAGACACTGGCCCAACATCCCGCCCCGTGGACTGGGACGCAAGCTTCGCCGAAGTCGTTCGCAAAGGGGTCGGGGCGTGTGAATCGACGGAGATGCAGACGCATCCCTCGCGGAAAGTGAGGGGGGGCAGATATTTGTGGTTCCCACAATTCGACCGCTCCTTGTCAGGGCCGTTTACGGCGACTCACTGAGGATCTTCAGTCCATTTCGATGCAACGTACTGCATGACCCCAGTATGAGCGAACCTCATGGAGCTTTACTGTTGCCGGTGACTGCTGCCGACGTTCGACGCAGTCAGAAAGGCCAAGTGGCTTCCTTGTGCGACGAAGCTACGGGCCTACGTCAATAAGAAATCGTGGCTTACACTGTCGCGCTTTCTCCACATGTGTCAAGGATCCATGATCTCGAGGCGCTGGAGGAAGTGTTCGAGCCGCTGTGCTTCCAAGAGGCCCGAGCACTGGTTCGTCGAGATGCACAGAGAGTACGTCTTGAACTGGCTGCCAACTTTCCGACATTCCTTCGCCGGGGCGGTGCGTCGAAGGACTTCGACGGGGGCGCGAACAGATCCGTGCTCGACTTCGATCCGTCCAATTTCGAGGGTAAGTATCTGGCCGCCATGAGCTCGAGGCACCTGGAGGCCACTCCGCATTGGAGCCTGCCATTGGGTCGAATATTCGCGAAGAAGATTCCACAGTGGAGCAATATCTGGCAGATCTCTGCGGTCACAGAAGCACCTGATGAGAAAAGCTCATGGCACGTCACCTGCGATCGACGCCTGACAGTGCTACAGGTTCTTCCCACGCACGGAACGGGCTGCGATGACGTCCTAGAGCCAAATCAGTTCATAAGGGCCGGCTTCCATGAGGACCGGGTCGACGTTGCGCTGTGCGAGGAAGTCAGGCGGCCCCTTGGTTGGGACGACGACGTACGCCTCGTCTGCCACATGGGACACAATACTAGGTATAACATCATGGGGTGCCCAGAGTGCATGGGCGAGATTATCTACCAGGCGGTGCCGTGGCAACCTCATAGACTTGAACCCGCCATGGATTGGAGGAGTGCCGGTATGCTGAAAGATCCGAGGCCTGACAACCCGTTCCGTAAACGCGGCATCAGGCAGCGGACGAGAGCGGCCCAGATACAGAACTCGGGTCGCACACAGGCGCGCTGGCGCGATAGCTGGAAGTTCGACAACTCCAGGGGGGCGCTGTCACGCTACTACGCTGCCATGTCAGGCAAAACAGCTACTCTCTCAGCGGAAAGATCGGTGTTTGCCTGGGTTCCATCATCGCCTAACGACAAACGCCCTGCCCATGGCAATGAGGCGCGTGAGGTCAAAGGACGCAAATTAGCTCGAAGGTGGATGATGTGCCAGGAGTATCGTGGCTGGCACCCTACTGTCAACAATGCAACATGCCCATCTTGGAAATGGTGGGCATATCTCTCAAGACAGGTGGACCAGACTGAGTTCAGCCCGGACATGGGCATCCTCTGCGTGTTCGACTGGGGCGCCACGGACCCCGAGGCGCGAGAGAAGGCTGATCCATTTGCAGGTTGGGTTAATTGGTGCTACGAACATCGTGACACCATGCCGCCGATATTGAACCAGCTACATTCAAGGGAAAATCGACGTTCACTGGCCACCGAAAGAAGAGATGGCCAGCATCGAGGAAGAAGAACAGGAAGCATAACGCACTCGGGGCACGCGAGCACGCCGCCCTGCCTCGGTCTGGCCGCCAGTCCCTGCCCATGGCAGGCGTGGCAGGTCGAAAAGTCGGCGGCGGCGTGTCCGATCAGAAGATGCGCCGAGAGCATTTGGAGGGCGCGCCATGCGCAGACGGGACAGTTCCCGCATCCCGCATCGTAGCATCCACCATGCTGACATCAGGCAATCCATCAACAAATTTCGAATCACGAGGGCTGCCAACGAGCTCGTTGCGTACTTCGCCGTCCAGGACGAGCCCGAAGAGTACCACCAGGCGGCTACCGCTGCCTCCTGCGAGGCACAGCTACGCCGCATGTGGTATGAGCCGCCTGAGTTCTCCGTTTACGATTCAGATCTTTTCAACGTCGAGACGAAGTGGATGTCAGAACAAGCCTACAGGGTTGCCATTGAGTTGACTAAGGATTTTGACTGGACAGAGATCGACGGAGAGAATGCGGATGAGAACGCCATGCGTATTCATTTCAAAGAAGTTGATCAGTACCGTACACATTTGGTGCGTGAGCTCAACATCTTGAGGGCGCGCCGCGAAATGTTGGAACTGGTGCGCAGAGACATTTACCATAATAGAACCGACATACCGCGAGCCTCCATTGATGCGCACAAGATCGAGGCGTGTCTGCAGTTCCTACTTCCGTCGCAGGCAGCGGCGCTCAAACGTGGCCAGCGGGCAGCGCCAGACAGCTTTCAGCACGCAGCTGTTGAGCAGTGGCCGCTTCGCGTGCGCGAGGCTGCGGTGCATGCCCTGAATATGTGGCGACAGCATGGGGTGGCGCCGCTCGAATCGGAAGAAGAGCGCCCCACCTGGCGATTGCCCATGGCAAGTGAGGCGCGGCGACATCAATCCCCGGCAACGACAGCCAGGGCAGCCCGCTCTGTCAGCCGCAAACGCCCCCTCAGTTCCTCCTCGGCACAGGGGGGCAGAGCGGCCGCGCTCTCGCGGGCGGGGCATGGCAAAGGCAGCTCCTCGAGCAGCGCTGCTCCGCCGCCCCTGGAGGCGGCCGAGACGGGGAAGGGCGAGAGACCCCGGGAGAAAGGGGGCAGCCGCGCTGCATCCCCACGCCCGGTGCGTCCGCGCAATTATTCGGACATCCGCCAATCGGCTCAGAGTGGTGCCGCTTCGTCATCGCCCCAGCACTGCCGGCCCAAGCCCGATCGGCGCCCATGGCGTGAAAGGAGGCAAAGCCGATCCCCCATCGATCGCGCATGGAGCGCGTGGCGGGGCACCGCCAGCCGAGCCAGGAGCAAAGGACCGGGCAAGGATAACCGCGGTAAGGGCGGTTATGAGAGCTGGGTAGATCGCCGTCACGACGACCGAGCCCAATGGCGCCATGATGGCAGATGGTACTGGTAAGCCCCAGGCGCCCATGGCGTGCTGGTGGCTACGCCGGCACAGACACCGCGAGCCCGTGGCTGCATGGTGACTACAGCGTGGCAAGCTGGGCTGCTGGCGGCTGTGAGAGCCTCGCGCCCGTGCCTGCCAGAATTCGGCGCCGTCGGAGACGTTAGGTCCCGATGGTGCTACGTCGGCCCTGGCCGGCCGCTGCGGCCAGGCCGCCTCTGGGGGAGTCGTTGCTAAGCGCTCCCTGCCGCCGTATATGTACATATATGCATATCCTTGAACATTAAGTTGGCCGCTCCCTAGCTGTTTGGGATCGGAGGGGAAAGAACGCGCGCTTAGCGCACCCTTTTGCCGTTCCCTATCTGCTTAACGGACAGTCGAACCTCATACTTCCACGGCTTCCGCCGTTATCTTGGCCGCCATGGTCTCTCGGGAATCCTCGAGCCCAAGACGATCCTTGGAACCTCTGCTGGGAGCACCGAACTTACTACCTGTTCACCCTGATGATATTGGCCCTGTTGGGCTTAAGTTGGGTAGAGATGGGAGGAGGGAGGAGGGG